TAGTAAGTCTGAAAGGTGTGAGGTGATACCTCATTGTTGTTTTAATTTGCATCTCTCTGATGATCAGTGACTTTGAGAATCTTTCATATGTCTCTTGGCCATCTGTATGTGCTCTTTGGAGAAGTGTCTATTTAGGTACTTTGCCCATTTTTTAATAGGCTTGTTTGTCTTTCTTTTGTTAAGTTGTATGAGTTCCTGATATATTGTGGATAGTAACCCTTTATCAGATGTAACATTGCTAAATAGGTTCTCCCACACATTGGGCTCCCTTTTCATTTTGTTGATGGTTTCTTTTGCTGTGCAGAAGCTTTTTTTAAAAAAAATTTTTTGTAATTTTTTAAAAAAATTCTTTATTAGTTAAGGTATTACAAATGTGTCCTCTTCCTGTGCAGACACTTTTTATTTTGATGTAGTCGCAAGTGTTTATTTTTGCCGTAGTTTCCTTTGCCGTAGGAGACGTATCCATATGCCTATTTCTATGAGAGATATCTGAGATTTTGCTGCCTATGGTTTCTTCTAGGATTTTATGGATTCATGATTTACATTTAAGTCTTTTTAATATATTTTATTGATTTATTACAGAGAGGAAGGGAGAGGGATAGAGAGTTAGAAACATCGATGAGAGAGAAACCTTGATCAACTGCCTCCTGCACACCCCCTACTGGGGATGTGCCTGCAACCAAGGTACATTCCCTTGTCCGGAATCGAACCTGGGACCTTTCTGTCTGCAGACCAAAGCTCTATCCACTGAGTCAAACTGGTTAGGACCATTTAAGTCTTTTATCCTATTTGAGATTTTTCCGGTGTATGATGTAAGTTGGTGGCCTAGTTTCATTTTTTTGCATGTATCTGTCCAATTTTCCCAATACCATTTATTAAAGAGACTGTCTTGACTCCATTGTGTGCTCTTGCCTCCTTTATATATCAAATATTAATGGAGCATAATGGCTTGGGTCCATTTCTGGGGCCTCTGTTCTGTTCCATTGATCTATATGCCTGTTCTTGTGCCAGTACCAGGTTGTTTTGATGACAGTGTCTTTGTAGCATAACGATATCTGATATTGTGTTCCCTCCAACATTGTTCTTCTTTCTCAAGATTGCTGAAGCTATTCTGGATTTGTTTTGATTCCATATAAATTTTTGGAGTATTTGTTCTAGATTTGTGAAATATGTCATTGGTGTTTTAATGGGCATTGCATTGAATCTCATCTATAGATTGTTCAGGTCCCAGTTCGTTGTCTCACGAAATCAAAGAAATTAATTCATAGACAAAGACATAAGCAAAAGCAAAGTTATATTACAGAAAATCTTCCTGCTGCAGGGAGGGGACCCAACTGGTTGACCTGCCTACAAAGGATTTGACAAACATAGAGCTTCCACTCAACTCTACTCTCTTTGTTTGCTTTTACTGTGAGTAGAAACCTTGAAGCTAAAAGCACAACAGAAGCAGAACACCTGTGCAGGTGGGCAGTGAAGTCTGGAGAGCAAAGAGATTATATAAAGGAGAGAAATAACCCAGTAATGTCGGACTCAGAGAGAGTGGGGGGAAGGGTATAGGTGCCAGGAACAGCCAACAAATACCATAAAGCTTTTCCACTGCACTCTAGATGGCTCCTCTCAGATACTTCTTCGCACTGCTCCTTGTTGATGGAATATAAATCAACTAAAACTCAGACATACGTACTGAACATCTTCCATACTTTCTAGGACTTTATCAATTCCATGCTTTCCCAGATTTTGATAGGCATTTTATGAGAAGTGATGGAATTATTCTATAGGACTTAGTGGACAAGTAGTATGTTGAAGTAGAACTATATAGAAAAACATATGGATTTAAGTTTTCAGAATAAAAGAACTCAGGAAGTTATTTTTATAAAAATTTAATAAATAAAGTGAAATACAAATTTAATGGCAAAAAATAAACATGTTTTGTAAATTTTAATACAATGTAAGGATAAATATTGGTTATGTAAAAATATCAATTTGATAACATAAAACAATAAATACTAAGTAAAAACAAAGAAACCATAAATAAATAAGTAAATAAATAAATCACCACAGTAGCATATTAGGGTCTGATATCCCAGGAGCTAAATTTCATAACATTTTCATGCTTCATAACCTGACAACAGATTTGCTGAATAAAACTTAATAAATTCTGTGACTAAAGATGACCTAAGAGCCTTTGACTTCACTCAAGGCATGTGAAAAGGTGATGCAGCACATTCATCCGTGAGGATCCTTTCAGGGGGATCCCACGTTTCCATCCTTATTTCTGAGCTTTTCCTGCAAGGCTGTTATTGAGGAGAAGGATCTCATGATTTCCACTCTGACCACCTCCCAGGCACAGTCACTGTATTCCTTCTCCTTCAGGTAGAGATGGACGCCCTGGAAGTACCTCCTCAAGGCCAGGGTGGGGCGCTGCATGGCCAGGGCAGATCCTTCCTCTCCCATCTCCTCCACCAAACACATGTCCAGGTCTTCCAGCTGCCGGTGGAGTCCTGAGCGCAGTTGGTCCACGAGGGTCATGTTCCAGGTGACAGAGGAGTTCTCTGTGGACAGGAGGTTGGAGACCTGCTGGAGCATCTCGTGGAGGACAGCGATGGCCTGGGCCTTCTGGACCTGGCTGCCATCCACCGCTGCCCGGGGGAATCTGAAGTCCTTTCCTTCCTTCAGGCAGAAGAAAGG